TAGGATATCGATAATATGATAATTCATAAATAACTGATAACTCCAAGCATTTCTATTAAAATGTGAACGTTTATTAATTCATTCGGAATATTAATTACTCTATAAAAGAATGTCGCTAGCTTCTTAGTGTTCACAGTATATAACAAAATACTATAAACAATAGTATAGTATTAGAGTGGTGAATAGTAGAAATGGAGATGGTACTATCAACAGCAGTCGTACCGCGACGGATTATTCCGTAATTCTTTAATCAATATTACAGACGTTACACAACCGTAGCCTAATGCGTGTCTTCCTTCGTTGTTGCGAATCTCCGAGGTCTCTTTCGAAATTTATTTCGCAAAGGTACGTATGTCGGAACGCAGGTTCATCATAAAATATAAGTCAATACGCATCTTATAACACATTCGGACCCCTACATTCCTGACCTTCTATTTTACAATAGAACGTATTTTATGGTTGTACATGTATAAATGTATCTCCATCTATCTAAAACACTACTTTTAGACACCACTATCGCAAATTTTAGTAAATACGTTTGGCTTTTTGACCATATGCTATTTTTTGCTGCAGGACAACCCGTGCTAGCTCCATTCGTTATGACGTCTTTGCAAAAGATTTTGAAATAAAGGTGAGAGAACTATAAAACAAATGCAGATCCAAACATGCTTTAAAGATATCAAATTAAAATGCAGAGATTAGATTTTTTGAATTTCTCTATTCACTCATCAATATACTCTTTCGCCTTCTGGAAACAATCAATTTCAAAAAAATAAATAATCTAGCAATATATATTGCGCAAATAAATACGTTCTCATTAATAATGTTGCAGACGATAATAATTTTCTTATAAATACAATTTCAAATTTGAGAATCGGAAAAAAAATTACTTCTGAATGCTGAAATTTTTAAAGTGAGTAAATTACATATGAAAAAAAAGATATATCGAGATCATGTCAAATGATCGAGTCATATCTGTGTGATCGCAATGAATTAAACTTTACGCACGTTTTTTACTTTTTTGTTGCCTCCATAATCCTATATCCTTATGTCATCCAATCAGTAAATTGAACATGACGTCTAGTAAATAAACTTCCTGCGGTGGTAATCGAAAAAAGAAAGTATCAAGTTCTATATTCTAACGCTGTCGTCGCGCACGCGATAAGTATAAAACTGTGGAAAGAATCAAGAAAACACACAAAAGGGAGGAGTGACAATTTGATCGTCCGCAAATGAAAATAAAAAACTCGGAAAAGACAGTAAGATAAACACTGTTGAGAATAAACCTAATATAATAATTGAAGACCTCGAGTTAATTTGTCAGCACAATTATCAAGCACGTAAATAAAAAAAAGATGTTATCCTTTTGAAGTCCTTTAACATGATAAGGTCCTTTAACATAATGGCTTGTTATCCGTTTGACTGATCATTTCCTCATTGTTTTACGACACTTTTGGATTAAAGATAGAGACGTTATTTTATTATTTTCTTACACTAATCGATACTTATCCGCAGTACAGTTCCCACTTAACGTGCATCTCAATCCGCGATCATGCATCGACGTTAATATTCGCAAGCTATTTGGCCTTTTCATCTGCATCTTGGACCAAATGACGAAGTCGCTCATATCTGCCGTTTAATCTGAACACGCAGAACATGCAAACGTATATGAGTTTCAAAGTGATGGAAAAAAAAAATATGAAGCTGCACAAGTCAATCGCTGTAAGAGTTTTGTACGTTTAAACCTGCCAAAAATTTATTAATGACAGATCATTGATGAGTTCTCACGAGTTATTCATCAATAAATGCATCGCACATGTTTAAATTTAAATGTTACTCTCTACAGAGAAAAATTGAACTTTTTGTAGAAAAGTTATCGTCAATTATCTGTGCATATAATATATACCATATATTATTATATATCATTACATTTAATATGTATAATATATATATATAATCTTTTATAGTTATCCAAAATATAAAATTAGAAACTTTTAGAAATTAACCAATAGTAATTATGATGTCGAATCTCAATTGTAAAAGCAGTCTCTTGACTTTATTCAAAAACTCGAACGATGCATTTTAAGTGCACGAAATTCAGGACGAAAAGTCAAGTGGTCTAAAATCGATTTCAACTTTAAATCGGAGTTTGTTGTACGTACATAAAAGTATCTCCGACGTACGACCTCGCGAGTGACACCAATCAATGAAGTGTCGTCTTAAATCTACTCGACACTTGCTTGATTCGCTATAATGTTTTAGCTTTTCGTCGCGGGTTTCGCAGTTTTTCTCTTTCTCTGTTGTATACATCTATAAAAGTCGAGCAAATTTGCGAGCAACAACATTGCCTCTTCTTCGATTGTTTGCGCATTTCTTGCACATCCCACGAAGTAATCATACGCCGATTTCTTTTTCTTCATGTATGTCTCCAACGCAGACTTAAGCCGAGAGCACATAGAAAAACGTAAGGCCGTAAGACATAATCAGTAAGGAAATCATAAGATTGGTTTCGCTACTGGCCTTACGGTCTCTATCGTGATTGGGCAATTCGCTTACTGATTATGTTTTACGGCCTTACATTTTTGTATGTGCCATGGGCTTTAAAGTAAAATAGAGCAAGTATGTTCTCCGTTACCGATATAAACTGCCTTGCAATAAGTATACATACGAATGTGTACATTAGCAACAAAAAAGAGGAAGGATCTCAAACCGAAGTCGAGACCGGTTTCTGTCTTATTCCCTTTAGCGACGATAAGGATGATAATTGTTGCTGTTCGACGTAGATCCTGTGTAACCCCTTTGGGGCCCACCACCATAGTTGTCAGTTCCTGGCGCAGCAGGAACGCTCGATCCATATCTGGCGCCTGTATAGAATCGCACAAAAGAACATAGTACTATGTGCCAGGACGTGGCAAGAGGACGTAATCGGAGAAGGTGGTAACATAGAGCAGTGACTCGCGTTACTCTACAACTCAAGAGACTGATCCTCGATGAAAGATCTAAACATGTGAGAAACGGAGGAAGCTTAATTTTTTGCAATCCAAATCAACAGATGATCAAAAATGGTAAGATTTTAATAATGCTATCACCACTGCGTTTTCTTCGGAGATGCATTGGCCATTGATAAAAATCTGACAAAATTTAAGCATTACTAAATTATTAATAATAATTTTAATAATTTATTAATGTGCATGTATTCGAAATTTATTACATTTAATTCAAATAAAAAGATGTGATATTCATGCAATAATTCCAAGTTGTTAAAACTCTGTGGATACATAATAAGAGGATACATAATGGATACATAATAAGAGATATTAGCAATAAGGGATCGTAACAACTTAGAGGTACAATAATATTTTGAACGTGATATAGGATTGCAAAGAGTTAAGATTATTAGGAATAACGTAAAAAAAAAAAGTTATAACAGGGAATGAAGATGCTAAACTTTTCACAAACTCCAAATCTAATCGATAATGAATATTTTTATGAAATTATATAATTGCTAATTTAATAAAATAATAATTACAACTTCAATTTTTTTTTATTATTATCAATAGCATTTGCAATTATAAAGACGGCCTTGATTGAATTAATTTAAGAAATCAATATTACTAAAAAATGAATTACTAAAAGATGAATAATTGTAAAAATATCTAAAAAGTATGATCCACGATATGTGAATAAAATGAATAAAACACTACGAGAAAATATTACGTTATGCAAATTCATATTTAATTTTTGTACAAGTTAATCGCTACAGATTCCCAATCACAATTTTATAATAGATTTTATTTTAAAAAAATTATATGTTCAAACAGAAAAAAAAATACTAAGAGAAAACAAGTAAATTAATAATGTCTTCTTTTAGATCGCTTGGATTTATAAATATTTAATTAATTCTCTTCTGCAATAATATATCAGATATATAAAAATAGTAACATGAACAAAATAAAATAAGAACAAAGAGAAGAAACAAAAAATATTTGGAGCAAGCAAAAATGAAATCTGGACAGGAAACGATCTGAAGGTACTACAGGTAGAATCAGAGAATATATGTCTCGCTTCTGAAACGATCTGAGGCGCAGAATGGATGGGTAAATGGATAGATAGATAAATAAACAAATTGATGGATGGATGGAAGAATGGGTGGATGGATGGGTGATTGGATAAATGGAGTTTTGCGGAAGGTAATTTGAAAAGTCGAGAGCAAACGGACTGAATCAATATCACCGACCTATATAGATCTCGAAAGAGGTTTCAGACATCTTCTTTCCGTATCCGAGAGATCCGAGCGTGCATCATAGCGGTGGCTTTTAGGACCTCCGGACGAGTTTCGGATCGCGACGAGTACGTGACTAATTTGCAAAAAGGGACGCCTGAAAAACGGGTCAGCTCGTTCGCACCAACTTTACATCTGTTCACGGCAAGGCGCAGGAATAAAACCGGAACGTTCACGCGATTTATCAATTTCTCTTTAACGCTTTCCAATTCAATATATCTTGTTCGTATAAAAAACGTTTTCGCGTTTGGAAAAATATCTCGATCAAATATCGAGTCAAAAAAAGCGTTCCTTTCTGAAATTAATTCAGCGATATAAATAATTAACAGTCTGTTTAATTAATAATTTATAATCGTGATATTTGATCCTTTCGTTTAATTAGAAGATAAAGAATTAAAATAATATGTAAAAAAAACAATAAAAGTAAAATTTTTTCGGAGATCATAATAGACATCGTACTATCATTATTATCATTAATGTTTACAATTGAAAAGCGTTAAATACATGTTATCTTTTAATGGCTTATAACTTTTAACGTTTCATTACTTAAGACAATTATAGAAACATCGTCACGATTAAAGATAACACATATATATCCATAAAAAAGCAGAACACACCTTAAGACTTACTACAAAGATACTACAGTCTAAAGGTTAAGCGATAAAATTTAATGTTAGCTTAATAATGAAAATCGTACAGCTAACATATGTGACGGTGGCTTAGTTAATCTTACTGTATAAACCGAGCGCACTTACTTCTGACTAATTTAATTAATTAATCCTTACACGGTAATCTTACTGCGCGCCATCTCAATTGCTGGAAATGAGCTTAAAGTCACCGCTATAAAATTAACATTGTAATATATAATCAAAACTATGGAGATACAACCGGCACGTAATACGCGCAAAGAGAAATTCCGGCCGGAAGTTGTGTGAGTCCATTCTTGCACTCATCCTCTCGCACTCTCTTTCGTTTTTTTTTTTTTTTGCCACTCTTTCGCACCCTTTCTTGCCCTTTCCCGTCTCGCGCACTTATGAAAACTTGTTTCTCTCAGCCGTTCGGATGACGTCGGACGATCTTTTAGCGCCTATAGGGATGGTAATTCGTGTGTTGGGTCAAGGAAAACCGTTGAGGACCAGGAGCTGCGTCTCCGTTGGGAATGAAGGTAGGACTTCCAGTTTCGACGGTTTTGAATTTGGGAATCGAGAGAACATCTGCGGGGGAAAAAAGGTAAGGAAGATCGTTAGAGCTCGTTTCATCTCTGGGAATACACGTTTCTCCCTCGAGTGCCACTCCTTTGGAGGAAACTCGAGCAAGTTTCGTGCAAGAGTCGGGGATAATATAAGACAGAAAAGGATTAGAGAGGAGAGAAAGTGGTGGATAAAGGTTCACGAGCGTTTTCTCTTCGAAGATGGCCTTACTTCAAGTAGTTGAGCACGATCTCATGAAGTTCCTAATTTAACCCTTTAACCGAGTTTTCGTTTTTATAATATTAATACTATAATTAATGTATTCTATGTTGATTGCAGCCTAATAATCTAAGTCTTATCTAAAATTATTATTTACGTATATGATAATATGATACGAATTCAAAAGCATCGTACATTACAATACACACAAATCATCTCTATATCAAATGGCTTATAAATTAGAAATCGTATTATCTAAAAATTTGAGTCCTGAGTTTATTTAATTGAAAATTATATATGTACCATTTTGATAACGATGCACTTTTGGACGAACTTTTCATCATTTAAGTATATATATATATATATATATATATATATATATATATATGTATATATCTACATACGTGTAAGTTATATCTACATACTAATTTATGAAACTATATTTAACTAATTTATGATACGATATTTAACGTATAAAAATTATACGCATATTAAAATTACGGACGCCAGTAAAATATTTTAACTGCCTGCCCGGTTAATGGGTTAATGGATTAAATGTACTTAGAGATTAAGCTTCGATTTATGAACATGTCAACACTAATGATTCAAACAATGCAAATCTCTATTACGAAATCATGAAACAAAAAAAAGGGACTTTAAAAACTTTTAAAATGAATCTATACTTTATTTCAACCATCTTTAAGTAAATATACGAAAGTGCTGACATGTCGAATACCAGGCCAACTCGAAACTGAGACTTTTCCGTTGCAACGCAAAAGAATTCGTTATAGAAAAGCAGAAGTTATTTTCAGTGCAACAGCTCTCAATATAGTAATTATTATACAGGATGACACGCCTCAGATTCGAGAGAACATGGCGGGATATGTATGTTGGGACGCGCATAAAACACTGCACTAATTAAAAAGCTTGTCTCCACCGTTTCCGATACGTTCTGAATATATGCGGTAATGAAAATCCAAAGAATCCATTCAATCAATATTTTCTAACAGTGGACCACCTCTGTAATTCCGTTTTCTCATTAACGACAGCAACACCGTGCATACGAAAATTGTCGCGATATCGACCCATGAATAATTTCCGCATAAAAAGTACGTATCAATTTTTACATCAAAAATTCTTATTCCATGTATAAAATATAAATATATCCGTAATATATTGCCTTTCTAATGAAATATTCTTCTATCGTATAATGTAGCTGCATTTCAATTGGGAGCATATAATCACGTATGCACGGTGGAAATCGCAATGCGTAATTGTAAAACAGAAGCGGCAAAAAGAAAGAAGGAGTCATATGGAACGCATGGTGTCGATGGCATTGATCTGAGGGATCGAAGGGAATCGATCGACGGACAGGTGCGCACCATCGCAATCATAGTTCTAAAAAAAACACATGTAATCTCTTTTCTCGCGCACTCGCATGCTCGCTATCATTCGCACTATGTACATTGTATTCGCACCATGTAATTATATATAATATTAAATTATATATAATTGTTTTAAAAAATTTATTTTTGATAATATTTGAATTAATCACTGGCACTCACATACAGTATCCCGCGATAATAGCTCTAAATATGCTAGTACGATCGTCACTAGAAATAAAAATTTATGCTGTGCAGTGTTTTAAGTCTCTCAACCACATGAAGTTACACATAACTACGTAAGGTGCGATCTCTAATTTAAGTGAAGGGATCGAGATTAGTTTGATTGATAAGAAATTTTTTTTCATCAATATCATTTTCTATTTAATCATAATTTCTCATAATCTATACCAGTGTATTTTTATGAATGATTTTCTCTATATTATATCATCAGCATAATAATCAGCATATCAACTTATCATCATTATATCATTATATATATATTGTGTTGTATATAGATTTATGTATATATAATATTATATATGTCTCATCATGATCATTATTAATATTATTAATATATCTTAAGTATCAATTAATCAATTAATCCACTAGAAACACCGTTAAGCATATTTTATATATATTATATATATATATGTGTGTGTGTGTTTGTGTGTTTAATGAATAATAATAATAGCAGTAAGAATAATCATAGTAATAATAGTATAAGTAGTAGTTGTAATAGTAATAATGGTAGTAGTAATAGTAATAATAGTAGTAATAGTACAGTAACTATCATAATAGTACTGTTATTTTATGTGTCGTCGAGAATGGGGGAAGGGAGTAAGATCGTATGGTGTATGACGTACTCGTATGAGCTAGATAACATGACGAAAGCAACGGTGTACGCGTGTGCGTGCGTGCGTGTGTGCGTGTGTGTGTGTGTGTGTGTGTGTGTGTGTGTGTTCGTTTATCGACAAAAATTAAATGATAAAGCAATTACTCGTAAATTGTTATATACATCTCACTTGTTCGTCCACAGCTATATAATTACATCAAATACGAGAAGTACATGTCGCAAAGAAAATATATAATTTCTGCACTCGATGGAATCAATTACATGTGAATAAGTAAAATTTATTAAACAATTCATGAGCAACTTATTTGTTCCTTAACATTTGTCGACAAGCATGTATATGTGTAAAAAACAAAAAGGGACAACGAGAAGAAATCAGCGGAACGAGTCGACGTCGATCTCTTCTATTTAGACTATCCTATTTTTATCGTTACACGTTAGATCGATTAATATCCTTCCTTCGAAGGCACGTCAAAGATTCTTCCGAAAAAAACGAACATACACGTTTTTCTAGCACATATCTTTTTCTCGGACTATATGTATGCCTAGCTTTGATTCACCCTCTTTCGCCTATCGCCGTCTATCTATCGATTTTCAATCCTTCGAATCCTTTCCTCATCGATCCTTTTTTACCTCTGAACCTGATCTATGTCAGTTATCTGTAGGATTCACTTCCAAAGTGCCTATTTCAACTGATTTCGCTGTCAAACTTGTAAACATCCCTTTTCATCGCTTCAAACTTCTGCTTACGTCTCAGAATATATCAATATCAATTATTCAGTTAATAAATTTGCTCCCGATATTTCTATTATACGTTTATATTTAGTTTCGTACTATACGTAATGTCACCATATCGATGTAACGATGTAACGTCAGACGTTTTCTATAAATTTCAAATAAACCAATTCACACCATTATAGAACTATCATCGCCAATATTTAACGTCAAATTCTCGAAGAAGATGTTTAATGGAACGTGACGATTTTTATTTCGTACAGCATGGAATAAAAAAAGCATTTCAATGTCAAAAGCAACATATCACACAAATCAGCAGGATCGTCTTTATTTGAAGATCATATACTATTCGAATACTCTCTTAACACAGATACAATTTTTTAGATTTATTTCAAAAAATTTTGTTTGTTGTAAGATGGCACTTATTTGCAGCATCTCATGGAAAATACACGAGATGCTGTTGGAAGCACATTGAAACACAATAACGAGTATTGACTTGCAGCATTACTTAAGAATCAAATTTTAATATTCTATTATATGACTGGGCTAAAAAATATTATATTCAAGAGATTTCGTGTTCTGTAACAATCAAAAACACGAAGAACATGAAACTAATTTAAAAAATCCTTTTGAATGAAATGGTTGATGAAAACAGTGATTTTTTTTCTATACATTTTTTACTAAAAAATTGTAATTACATATAAAAATATATTCCAATGGAATTTATAATAGAAAAATTATATAAAAAATAGAGTATCAAAGTAAAAGAGTAAACAAGTTTTGATGTTATACTGATTCAATGATAATATTGATAATTTATATTGAAGTTCGTACTAATTAGTTCCATCGAGCAAATAAAATCGTCAAGAACAATTTGCATCAAATGTTTCATTGAGAAATGATCGTTCAAGCATTAAATGCTAGCATTTAATAGCTCTATGAAAAACAATTTGGCGGTACACAGTTTGACGTTACGTATAGTTTGACGTTACGTATAATTCTAATTTATAATGCAGCTTAATTAAACTTCGGCACGTGCATTCGTTAATCTCGAAGGAACGCTTCGACCAACTTCGATTCCATCACACCCACGCCACGCAGGCTACATCAATTGCAGAGCCCTGCTATTCGCGTGAAACAGACGCAGAAATTCGCGTCACTTCAATTCAATCTGATACGTGTACCGAAAACGCCTCCCTTTCGTGCCTCTCTTTCATTTGTCGTTCGCCCACGCCAATCTCCCATGTTCTCTCTCCCCCACCAATCGTGTTAGAGATAACATCGCTAAAAATAGATAACGATCGTTAATTATTTTTTAACTACTTTCGTAATTTTCACTCGTCGATTCATCTCTGCTTGATTCTCCATTCCTTCGCTCTCACCATGTCCTTTTTTTATATGCATATAGAACACTAACACGTCCCGACGAGTTCTATTTGACGATCGTTTCTTGTCGCATTTTGATAATTAACATTACGCACGTGCCCTACGAACCTACAGAACGCTTCATCGACATAAGGATACGTAGTGAAAAGAAAAATGGAGGCACAAAGACGATCGCAAGAGAAATGCGATGACTGAGAGTCTCCTTCCATTTGATTTGTGATCACGATTTCCTCCTTTTTTTTTTATTTTTCCTCCCTTTTCCTTTCTTCTTTTTGCACGGACTCGGAGGACAATTCCTTCCGACAAACGGCAGGTTCGAGGGGCTTCGATTTGGAAATATTGCGCCGGCACTCTTCATCACATCTTCGTTTTAATAAACACTAACGGTTTTTCAGCTATGATTTTTTTTTTTCTTTTAATGCAAGTACTCCCTACATATACTATACGTA